TGTTTATGCACCGTCTGCATACGCTGCCAAGCAATGTAGAGGTGTTTAAAGTGCCCTCTGCTGGCTGAGGGGAGATACTTCAGCAAACACTCATGGCAAGTTTGGCTGGAAACACTGATAACAAAGGGCCCCTATAGACTTACCCACCCCCCCAAATTTTAAATGACATAAAATACTTGTGATACTTACTTTAGCCAAATCAGAAGATATCCATCCTGCTTCACGTCAGCTTCAGAAATTTTTTAAAAGGGACTTTCGCTCTGGAACTCAAATACCAATTTATTAAGAGCCATATTCTTTTAAAAAACAAAAAGCTAGGTAATATTATCTGTACTATTTCAGTCCTCCACAAGCCAAATAAATGTGTCAGTGTTCCTAGTATTTCAAAGAAGCAACTCTGTAAAGTCGTTCAATGTGACATAATAGTATTAATATAATAATTGGTTAAGTAGCTTAATGATTAGGCAAACTAGCGGAAAGATTAGGGGCTATTCCACGGCATAGATTATACACGCCTAGCCACGCATACATGCACACAGATGTGGGGTACACTGAACTTCAAATCCCAAATGAATAGAAACATTTTCTGGCTAGCAGAAAAAGAAACTGTCGTTTATCTTTCTTGCTTTATTTGAGAGTGTACAGTAAAAGGGATTTTTCAGATTATTTTTATATTGTTTTAGCTTTAATCGTGCTGTCATTCATGAAACAGAGCGGCTCTGCTTTTCTGTCAGAGATGGCAAGGGCTTTTTCAGCATCTCGTTTCTGTGTCGAATTTAAAAAGAATAAAGTTTTATTCCATTCTGTGTGAATGGTTGGAAAGTGAAACAAAGAATCTGCGGGAACCACGTCATGGCTGGAATAACTGGGGAGGGGAGCTGGTAACGTTTGTGTTAAATTATTGCGAATAGTCCATGACGTCTTGACCTTGGTTGGTAGATGAAACACAATTGAGGGAGGAATGTATTATCATTTGGGCAAAAACTGGCATGAGCTGAAAAGACAGGTCCTGCTGTAACAACTAATAGATTCTTAGGATACAAATAATGTTATTTTGAGCTTCGCAAATAAGTGCTACTGTGCAATAAGACTTTTCCCCCTCATAACAGAAAATAAGTAATTAAAATGAGGAAAAGGCCACGTAACAGTTAACTTGAGTTTAATGGAAGGACCCATTAGAGGCTCATCTGGCTGCTTTAATTATTTAATTCAGTAATTTATATAGATCCTTTAATGCAGGTTAGAATGCAAAAATGAGCATAAACATTAAAAAGACTCTAAATGATGCTTCCGAAGCACTTTCATCTTGGTATTAGGTTCCTGTTGGTGTTCACTTGTAAAATAATTTAGGATTTTTGTTTACAGGTTGGATGTCTAATAAATAGTTTTTAAACTAGCTAAATGTCTCTACAGGCAAGCCACATATTTAAAAAATTCTGGTGTTACAGGTTCCGTACACTGTTTTTAACATCCCAGCTTAGCTGCTTTAATTATATCAAGACAGGAGGCTGGATCACCAGCCCATGACAAATCTGAAGCCTACCAGAGAATCGACTGCCACAAAAATACTCTTGCTGTCAACTAACATTCCAGAGAAACTTGGGCAGGCAGGTTTTTTGTAGCTGTCCCACTATGCTGCAATAGATTATCTTTCTATGGAAGATTTTCCACTGCATTCCAATCCCATTATGGTGAAAACATCACTCTTGGATTGATTAAAAAAAAACAAACCCAAATTCTTGATTTCATACATATGTCTCTGTCTCTCTCTCCACATATATATGAATATTTATATACGCTCACACACACACAATCTCATACACTAGATCTGAGCATCGACCCACGTCTAGGAGTTTGCAATGAAATTCTAGGGAGAAATGCTGTATTCATAGAGCAGGGGGGTTTGTCTGGACCTTCTGTTTTTCCTTATGAGAAAGGAGTAACTACTATATTTATATCCAATGCCAGATCAAAGTACCAAATTAAAATCATCAACTGAGGTTATTATTCCCGGTCATTTACTCCCATCGTTCTAATCACACTGCTCTACAAAAGTAAGGGTGGGGGGTGAGAATACATTACGTACCTGTTGGTTAGAGCGGGAGGAAAGGCTTGATACGTCCCCTGACTCCCTCTTTACTTTTGTGCAGAGACGAATGGGTCTGGTCTGAGTGGGTTTTTGTAGAATGGAACGGAAAGGCAGTAGGGACCTAGGAGAACACCTCTAGAAAAGAGACCAACAGAATTTTTATAAAAAAAAAATCAGATGAGTATCTTTGTAAGATAAATCCTGTCACATAGGAGTACCACAGCCCCTGGAGTCTGCCACACTGGAGTAGAATGTTCTAGAAGTCTAGCCATATTCCCAGACTGTTTAATTACCCGGGAGAAGCAACACGCTCAGGTTACTATCTGTTCTTTACCCTGAAACAACAGCCTCACTCGGAGACTATGTATGTGTCACACAATAGCCAGTCAACACACCCGCTGAGGGCTTTCTTTCCGGGTCGGGTGATAATTCTCCAGCAGAGCTGTCGGACTCAGGAGCGCTGTTAGGCGAGTGGAGAAGAACAAATAGACTTTGCTTCCCCCAGTCCAGACCTTTGAGTTCTGTGTGTATGGTCCATGTCCACCTCTCCATTTCCCTGAAAATGTTTCTATCCAGAAAAGTAACATGGCGTCAGAATTCCATGATGGAAGCCCAGAACTTTCCAGCAGTCAAATGAAGTGTCTTTTTCCATTCTTTGTTTTCAATAATCAATATTTGGCTGTCGGTTTGGGATGATAGTAGAGCCCTGTGCTCGTGCTGGGGGTCCCTGTCTCCCATGGCGCTTTGAAGTTGTCCTTCTGTCCCTGTTACATACACCTGGTTCTTTGTGCCTGGGACCCATGGCCATCAGGGAGGGATCCGGGCGAGCATGCAGGACAGCATTGGCCTGTAGCGTGTACACGCTGAATAGGAGCTGACGAAGCCACGTGCCCTCTTTCGTTCTGACAATCAGTGTGAGGCGGTGGGTCTCAGCGTGCCAGTGGGACAGTAGCCTTCGTGTGCTGGTGCCCAAGACTCCGGCCAGGCGGGCGTCAGCGCGGTGCAGTGTTAAGCATCTGCGAGCCATACGGCAGAAGCCTAGCCGAGGAGGCAGGTCGAGCACACCTGTGCGGAGCATCGAAGAATATTCTGGAGCCTAAAATGCAGGGCTCACAGAAGAGGCAGGGGGGTCCCCAGGCTGCTCTTCCTCCCGAATGACGCTTTAGTGATAAAAGTTGTGCTGGCCGTGAGACAGATGGTGGGAGCACATCCGTGAGTGGGTCTGGGGACGTCTTGAGGGTGGCACTTTGATTTGAGGTGGGGCAGGCAAAAGGCTTGTGATCATAGAGCTTCCGCCGGAAGTCCTCACCCACAAGTGCATTGTGGGAAACTCCTCCTGAAGTGTCACTGGTTCCATTAAAGAAACTGGCCCCGTAAGTCAGGGTCAAGCCACATTTGCAACCCATTGGGGCCAGAATCGAAAGTGCTGACTCATACGTCATATTTAAATGCTGTTATTTTCCCAATGCTTGGTGGAGCTGGAGGCTTTTTCTCCCAGTGGACAAAAAAATCAATAAGGCTACAGAAGTCGCCTAACGGTGTACCCCGGACACGTTCGTTTCCAACAGGCCTGCCTGGCTAGGGGGCTTCGGGCAGGACCTTGAAACCTACTGGGAGATTCAGCTTCTTAGGGACCCCAGAGCCTCAATTCGCTGGAAGCCCACACATACCCGCCTCACAGAGCAAATCACAGCAGCGTTGGAATTGTTATTTTTAAGTGCTTATTTCACGACATTAGAAGAAGTATTTTTTTTCCTGGTGTATTAAATTTAAAAATAAAGTCATAACTTTTGATTTAAAATCAAAGTATGTTTCTGGTTTCTTTTCTCTCTTGTCCTGGGCGGTTGGAGTTGGACACGGAGGGCTGCCCGAGAATCTCGGAAGGACCATGTCCCACACTGGATGCCCCTGGGCTCGGGAACGATGAGTCGCAGCAACTGCTCAGTTCTCTAGTAGAGCCCGACAACGCTGCAGTCCTGAAATACTACTGAGCAAACCCCCACACGATGTCTAGGCCTTCAGCAATCCCTTCCGTGGGTCGAACATTTTACAATTCACATGTTTTCCACGTCTGT